CTTACAGTTAGACATGAAAAGACGGATAGGCACGTGTTTTCCATGATTTCTAAAGAATAAAGTACAACCTAAGCGAAGGAATCAAAAAACATTATAGAACAGATATTTGAGAGCGCCCAAGAAATAAGAATACGCACGTGCCTATCATACTTTACAGCCAGGACACATCGTGTCGCAAAATACAACGCCCCAGATGTCCTGTACTCACACGATTCCCTCTCCTCCCTCCCCATCCTACTGACCTTTCCCATGTCCTACCCTACTTTTCAAATTTTTACATTTTTTCGCCGTGGAACAGTGAGGGGGGGGGGCTGCCAGCAGACCGCTTCTACCGCAAAAAGCCAGCAACCGAGAAAAATTTCTCGTGCGCGGAAAATTTCTTTGTTCCGAATACGACCACTCCGTCGCGACCTAATACGACCCCCGTTGGTGATTTCCCGTGTACGAGGTGCCCTGTTTCCAGCAAAGGCCTCTTTCATCTATAAAATTCAGAGTGCCAAAAGCCGATCAACTCTGACCAGATCGGTTTCGCTATCGAAACGATTACTATTATTATTAAACGATTATTGTTCAGATCAACTACTTCAAAGGTTTTCTGATATTTTAAAGGCAGTTGGCACGATAAATCCCCAAGACGACTAGGATCAATACTCCTGGCAGGATAGAATTCCGCGACCCTGGGCAGGCGCTGCATAGCGGTTTCCCCGAGGAAGGTGCCCTTATAAGGGCCCTATCAAGCCACAACTTTACGTCCCAAACGCCCGCCACGCCCGCCCGCCCACAAATGGACCGTTCCTGACGCTCGTATTCATTCATTTGCTAAGCAAATTATGAAGCGAAGGGATTGGTATGAAGCGGCCGTGATGCTGCATGCATACATGGGTATGCAGCCGTATCTTCGGTAGCGGTGATTGGTAAGATGCCTACGGGAAACTCGTCCGAAATCGATTTACAAGTCACTGAGAACGGAGGCTTTTTCTTCGCAGGATTTGACCGTTTTCATTACGTTCTTTCTCCATTCCCCACTACACAACGCCCTACTAGCACTTTAGGCTAAGTGGGAAACCATCGTGCCAACTGCCTTTAAGAATGATGACTAAAACGATCGCGATCTGATCGGTATAGATATCTTCGTTTTAAAATGAGGAATCGGCAACAAGAAGGAAGTCCATAAACGCTCCACGCAATGAACAGAGCTCTGCTACGAACGCGAAATAGGCACGAACTACATGAACTCAAAATAATCCAAGCATATCCTGGCAATGTACATGAAAAAGGTCAAGCGCATCTCGCCGAAACTCCCCATCAAAATGTCAGCACATCTTTCAGCGTACTGCAGCGAGCGTCGATCCCTGGGAGATCATTTCACCACCAAAAAAGACTTCTACAACAAGAATGCTGAGTTATGGGCAAAAGTCAAACCCAGCAGGAGTCGAAGCGGCACCCATGTTTTCCGAGCGAGTGCGCTATCCGTTACTTTCGAAACATGAACTGCGGCGTAAAACAGCAGTTATCATAACAAAACAACTAATGCTTCTATGACAGCTTTCCTGATTTGAGCGATTCTGTGCATGCCTGCAGAAAGCCGTTTCTCGACAAATCTCCTTTAGTCGGACACGATACATTAGCACTTCTAAAACCCCATGCGATATGAAATTCGGATTTAGTTAGCTCCCTTATAGCTTATTCCTCCAATTGAGGAGAAGCGGCCGCCGTCTGGAGAGTATAGAATATGCAGTCAATAGCCCAACGGACCACTAACGTTCCGCATGAGCTCCCAGTAACAAGAGTGGAATTAGTTACGAAAGTTTCAACCTGTGAGTGGCAGTGGCGGCAGAGTATCGACGAAGAGCACGGCAGAACAGAAAATAATGAAAAATTAACAAATAGACGAGGAGTTCACAGATCAACTTGTAAAATAGCAGTGATAAGTAAAAGAACGAAATGAGTGATTAGGAGGAAGTTCAGCGAAAAATGGTTTGGATTTCAAACGAGGCGATACTTTGGACGATTGGATCCATAGGTATGAATTCAGTTCCGCGAAATCCAGCAGAATCCAGAAAGGAAAAAAGCACTGAAAGGAAGATCCGTCCAATTTAAGGCTCACCTCTGACAGCGTCAAACTGCTATCCAGCTTTTCTACGGGAAACGCTGTAGCATATATTGTACTCTCACTTTCTTTGGTGCCAATAGAGTATGCAGTACTATTTCCAAGTGCTTTTATCTCGGGTACATCAATGCCCTCTGAAACCAATATTCCTCAAACAAGCAAGACAAGGATGTACAGAAGAAAAAATAGAATCACAAATTAGAAACATTAATCAACCTTTCACTGGAGACACATGTGGCGTCCGCTTGCCCTGAATTGAATTCTCTCATGCGAAAAAGTTGGAAACTAATGGTAAGCTAATTTTGTATGATACTCACCGGACGAGTGCACTGCAACACAGCCAAACGAGCCGCCTTACATTCCCACAGGATGCTACTGATGAGTACTGATACCTGCAAGATTCACAATGAACTGGACGCTGGTTTTAATCCTCGGTGTAGCTATCCCTGGAACTAAATGAACAAATTGTCCG